GTTTTTGCCTGCCTCGTCTCTCTGTGCATTCGTCTATCTCAAGAACTAGAGGCTTAACGTTGGAAATGCAGTTCAAGTTATCGATAACTCCGTCTCTGTTTCCCAACAATCGATTAAAATCGATTGAGTAGATAGTGCAAATGTGTAGGATATCTCACAGTCGGGCCCTGCCGTACGTACGTGTTATTATTTAAATTTAAATCAGAGCAAAAGTACAGCAAAAAGAAAAAGCAAAGAAAAAGACAATGCGAAATAATCGCGGGTGTCAATAAACTGGCGACGACCGTTTGACCTGTGCCAACAACAACAACAACAACAACAACAGCGACAGCAACAACAACAACAAGCACAAGGACAACATTGTTTGACCTTAAGCCAAAAATGCCGCCAACGGCCATAGACATACATTTGGCTGCTTTTGGGGGGTGTTTGCTTGTTGGAGCAGTGGAGGGAGGAGGGGGGCGGGGTCGTTGGCGACTGCTGACGGAGGTCATGGTCAGGATGCGAAAGCCCCTTCGGGCAGCTGCCAATGAACTGCAGGCGCACAGTGGGATAAACCGGCAAGAACGGCGCCAAAATTGCTGAAAGCCTAAGCGGCAACATTTTTGTCAAGATTTTGCATGCACTCAGCGAAAAACCAAGCAACTTTGACTGAGTTCCAGCCAGGTCTGGCTTAAAAATTCCTAATTTTAGAATGAACTTTTTAGAAACTTATCATTTCTCGAGTAGGAGAGATTTCAAGCACAAGAGTCTATAAATTTGAACACTTTAAGACTAGAACATGGAACGTTTTTTTCTCTGAGTGTATTCAAGAATTATCGATGGGGCATACTAGGCAAAACTTCAAGCCAGATATATTTTATTATCTGCAGTCACTTTTAGGCATGACATCTAGAAAATTATTGTAGCAATATTTTGTTAGTCTTGTAGAGGTTATTATAATTTTGTCAAGGAGACATCTCCGAGCCCATAAAGTATATATATTCTAGATCAGCTTCAACACAGGCGACTTTATTCGATATATATATATTTCTATGCGAACTAGTCTCTCAGTCTTGAGGCTAAGCTCTTGCAAATATCGGAACAGCCCGGATCGAGCCGCTATATCATATAGTCGAAAAGTTTGTGCTGTTATGGACAGCTTTTTATAACCAAATTTTCTTTTTAAGTTTTTAGTTTCATTATCATTCTCATATATGTGCATATGCAAAATCTTATCAACATCGGACCACTATTCACTGTAAGACTCAGTCTCAAGTTCCAAGCTTAAGGGGGCCGCGCAACGCCTGGTAATAGCTGCCAAGCACACAAATGTACATTGATCGCTGCTTGATCAAAACTAGACGAAATTGGTTTGAAAATGGGCATTTTTGGCGCATGAGTCGCCCTTTCTGATAACATATTATTTTTTTTTTTTCGTTTGTTTTTCGAACACTTGCGAATATATGGAGAATATAGAAATCAATAGACATTTTTCTTAGTTTGTTTATTTATTTTGATTTTGCATGGCTTCAAGTTACTCAAATTATTATTCGCACCTTTGGAACTGAAACGTATTCATTTGCGAGCTGCTTCTAGAATTTCCAGAGGTTTACTTGATTTTGCCTGAAATTGATGCAAAGAAAGGTCACAAATCATTATATATACCCAGATATATATATATATATATATATATGTAGCATCAATTTATAATAATAACAAAGTAAATATTTATTTGAGCCAGCGACTTCTAGCTTACTAGTTCAAGCCGCAGACATCTAAGCCAGGCAAGCCACACTCAGATTGCAGCCAAGTTTTTCATATGTTATCCTGCTTACCCCTCCCTCCCCTCCCCCCCCCCCTCACTTGGGGGTTCGAGCCCCTCTCCAGTGCTCACTTTCCACTCAAAAGTAAGCTTCAGCGAATTTCTGCACTGCCTCGCTCTTCAATCAGTCAATCAATCAATCAGTCACATATATAGACGTGGGTTTTGGCTCCTGAAATGTCCGCCTCGTACCACTGTGCGCGCTTCAAGGTCAACGTTTGGCCAATCAAAAACAGACGAAGAAGAAGAAGAACTGAACGGAACAGCGCTTAAGTTAGGTTAGGTTCGTGGCGCAAATGCAGCGCAAGCAGAAATAAAAACAAGTAAGAGGTTCTAGTCGGGAGCTCCCGACTAGGGGATACCCTGAACCCTCTTCTTGCAACATCAAATGCATATATATATTCTATTTTAGAAGCTATATGTCCAGATTGGTGACTCTAGCTCTTATTATTTACCAAAATTGCCCAAAAAACAGGATATCTATATCGATGTCGATTTTTATCGATTGCTTGGAAACGAAGTAAGTTATCGATTATCGGAAACAAACTCGATCTGCGCGGGAACTAGGAGCATCTACATCTAAAATTTCAGTCTCTAGCGCTTATAGGTTCTGAGAGCCTTGCGTTCATACATACGGACGGACGGACGGACAGGCAGACGGACAGACGGATAGACGGACGGACGGACGGACGGACGGACAGACGGACGGACGGACAGACGGACGGACGGACAGACGGACGGACAGACAGACGACAGACGGACATGGCTAGATCGACTCGGCTATTGGTGCTGATCAAGAATATATATACTTTATGGGGTCGGAGATGCTTACTTCTGCTTGTTACATACATTTGGGTTTTGCACAAATTCAATATACCCGTATACCCATTTTCAATGGGTTCAGGGTATAAAAACAAACGGGATTTGGGTGCACATAACTGTGAATTAGGCGTTTGAACTGTGGAGGCCGTCGCACTCGCCGGGCGGCCGCGACCTTGGCCGGCAGTTTGCCACGCAACGGGACATTGCACCCCCAAAAAAAAATTATAAAGAAATTAAATGGAATATAATAATAATAATAAGATTTATGAGAAAGGAAAAGAGAGCGAGAGAGAGAGAGAGAGAGAGAGAGAGAGACGCAGGCATCGCAATTGCCAAACGAGATTGAGCTTAGAGCGGCGGCTCGTGCGTGTCTCTGTGCCTCTGGCTGGCAGGCTGGCGGGCTGTGTCAGGCTGTGACCTTTGAACCTAATCTAGAGATTCAGTTGTGCATTGCTCATGAATTGGCTGTGGCAATCAACATCTGTAATCGGCACACGGCAATCACTTGGGCGGCGCGTGGAGCCAGCTGTAAACAAACAACAACTTCTTCAATACATATACACCACTATATATATGTATATATATATATATATGTGTGTGTGTGTGTGTGTATAGGCTATAGTATTTAGATTAGGAATACAATTAACCGCATTTCTATCATAAGTTGTAATCAATTAATCATTGACAAAAATATATACAAATATATACTATATATGTAAACAGATGCAGCATATGCAGCTGACCTTTAGTATATTAGCTGCAATTATTACAAATAGTTGCAATAACAATATCAATTAATTATAATTAATTCGCTTATTTCATTTCGTAATAAACATAAACAAAGCTGTTGCTGACTTCGAAGCAAATGTAGAGCGCGCTCATATATACCATTTAATCGGCATATATGTGCCAGCTTATCTGGCATACAAGACTTTAGTAATTTTTGCTATTACATATATCTTCTATATATCACTGCTGTTAGCTTGATATCGGTAAAAGGCAACAATTTGAATTTGGCGCTATAGCTTGTTGCACGACACCTATCGGCTACTTTGCGTACTAACTGAACTCTGTTAGCTGTGTGCAGCGTCAGCTTTAACATAACAGCTGTTAAGCAAATCTATCGATGCTATTGCGATTAATTGAGCATCGATATGTGTGGCTAACAGCAACAGCAAAAAGGCACCATCTATATATGCATACATACATACATACATATATATAAATAAAGCCGGCATGTGTACGCAGCGCTGATTGTAATAAGAAACATGTAAGTTAGCTGCAGCAACTAAATGCGACAATAAATAAATAAAGCAATGCACCTGTAATTTATTTATATAGATAAGCACATTTCAAATACCACTTTGACTTGCGAATATGCCAAAAAAGCCGCCTTATCAACGACGTGCTAATGAGTGCACTAACCAAAATAAAACAAGAAAACAATAAGAATAGGCGAAACGAAATTAAACACATAACAGCACTTAGTCAATGTTAATTAAAAATGGCAGCCAGATCGACGAGTAGCTTTAGATAAACATACATACATGCATACATATGTATATGTGTGCATACATATGTATGTATGCATGTATGTATGTATGTATGTAGTGTGCTTCGCTGTTCATGTTCCAGTTAATATGTAGCTGCGATTGTACAGTAATTATATCAAGATAATACAGTGAAAGCACTCTTAAGCATATCAAATTCTTTCCTGTTCCTTTCAACTTGATCACGTGTCGCTTTTTGGTGCTCTGTGGCAAGGTTTGAGTACAGGTAAGATTGCAAGTAAAGGCCACGAAAATTTGCCAACCAAGGCTGTTGTCCATTTAAAAGCGTTGTTCGTTGACCGAGTTTTTACTGTAACAGATTTTCAAAATTAACTTTTTATTATCTTGATGAATTGTTCACACATAACGCTTGGCGCGTTGGCCTTTCTCAAATCTGTATGGCTTCAAATTTGGCTGGTACAGTGAACTCTGGTTAATGGCGATATGCACTTTGTGGCCGAAACACTTGACGGTAATACACCTGGGCAATTGTTGTGCTCAGTTGATTGTTGGCAATTGCTGTGCTCCAAACCGGTAATGCCAAAGGAGTGAGGACAGCAGGATGAAGAAGGGGGGGGGGGGGTTTGCATGGAGACCGGCGACAAGGTCAAACCGTTTCGTTGCTCAAACATAACTTGGCCGCTTGTATGGGCCTCACACATGTACGTGCGTGCGTGCGTGCGCGCGCGCGTGTGTGTGTGTGGCAGCGCAGTCCATACACATGCAAACGTTTGACGGCGACGCGTCGCTTACTATCGAAGTTGTTATTCATATTTGTATTATTTTTTTGTGCCGCATACTCGATTCGCAGCTCACGGACGACGGACGTGTTCTCTAAACCGTGAAGAATCGTCTGTGCCGAGAGACGTTATTCAGCGTCAACGTTTTTATACCTGTTGCATTTTTGTCTGTTGCGCCGGGTTTGTTGTTTTTTTTTTTCTGTTTTTGTTTTGGTTTCTCCCTTGTGAATCACAGACAACAGCTCGCAGTGAGCGAGCGCAAGTGTTGAACAGTGCGAGAGAGAGAGAGAGTGCGCGCGTGTGATAGAGTACGAACTTATGGCGTAATCCAACACATAGTCACAATGTTGGGGAATGCACATAACTGAACTATTAAACACTTAAGAAAAGCAACGACTAGCGCATGCCCTGCACTACAAAACTGAACAAATTTCGTGGCACTTTAAATATAATTAACAATTAATCATTGATTAATAACGTGTCTGAAAAGTGATAATATATTCAAATTAAATCAAATATTGTTTACATTTGCCACATTATATTATCATTTACCTAAAACACATTCAATAGTTACTTTTTTCATTTAATTGTAGGTTGAAATTAAATTGTCGTTTATTGTGCACTTTATGCAAACAAATTCCACACGCTAGGTAAGTTTGTATAAATTTAATAATACACATTCTAGAAATTCTAATTGAAAAAATGTTTTTTTCTTTTTTTTACAGACTAGCTAAATCGCATAACATCAGGCAGCTGCCGGACGTAATATTTAGACGGAAATACTCAAATTATCAACAAATACACACAATGGGTTCTACGCTCTGCAAGGAATACAAAACAACTGGCAAGGTAACGCCCAATCCGGATCAGAACTCAGGTAAAAGCCGATCAACTATTTTGAAAGAAACCTCAGGTTAAGCTTCATCTATGCTTTGGTCTTATCATTTTCAATTCCGTATCTAACCGTGTTCATTTTGCTAAAAAAAAAAAACTTTCCCTAAGACTCTAAAGACTTGTAATGTTGTCAAGATTATTTTTGCTAGAAAGCTTATAGAGGATTTGATGTACAGGGATATTTTGGAAACGGGAATGAATCGAATTCCCGATTTATGCTTTATTATCTCAATGTATTTTTGCCGTTCTTGAAAATTTCATTCATTTAAGTATGGATTCCTATTCAAACATATCGATTCGTACCGCAATTTCGATAAGTTTTTGTTATCGATAACTAAGTCTTATGAAATACATCTCAAAGATATATTATTAACTACATGTCTAAACCTGTTTGGTTTTTGTTCAAAAAAAAAAAAAAGAAAGAAAAAAAAGCCGCCATGAAAAGCTGCGAAAAAGTGAACATAGATATCTCTCAGCATGTTTCTATCTCAATTGGGTTCGTTTACCTTTCTAATTGCCTTTGCCAGCGCACAAGACACTCAATAAATTTCTATTTTCATATTGTTTTTTTTTTTTTTTTTTTTTCAAAACGTAAATCAATAATTATTATTATTTATTTATGCATGTGCATTCACAAGTTCGATAATTGCGCGCATTTAACAGTTCAATTGTGTCTAAGAGCCAGCGAAAGAGTGTCAGCCATTGTGAAAGAGAGTGTGCGGGCGTGTGAGAGCGAGCGAGAGAGGGCGAGTGAGAGAGTGCGAGCTGTCTATCCAGTTGGACAGTCGCCTTTCTTTGGCATTCGCCTTTCGACTTTTCGCACGCGTTTTTGCTATTTTTCAGTTTACACCCTGAACTTAACTGGAATGGCGGAGTTTTTGTTTTAACTCAGATTTAAGCCTTTTATTTGGAATTTGAAAGACAACATTGCACAGTTATTTAACGTTCGGCATACATTCAAATATTTTTCAATTCAAACGGATTATTTGTTTGGGTAAACGAGGCTAAGCCAAAAAAATACACATGTTTATTGCTTTGGTTGGGTTTTGCTTCTTCTTTCTTTTATTAAAATTGCTCACGTGTGTGTGTGTGTGTGTGTGTGTGTGTGTGTGTGTGTGTGTGTGTGTGTGTGTGAGACAAGGCTAACCGGTTCGTTTTTGTGCGTGTGTGTGTGTGTGTGTGTGTGTGTGTGCTTGCATGCATTTCAAATAGTCGCAATTCATGCCGAATTCACAAATTTACTTTAATTAGACAGCACACCGGTTTTGTCTTCTTCTTTTACTGTATCTAATTGTATGTTTTCTTTTTTTTTTTTTTCTTGTTCAGACCTTTTGACTCATCAACTTGTATTTTACATTTAACGCAACAAGCTGAAGATTGTGACGTCACGCTAAGCGGACTTTGCCGCATATTCTTATTAGACCATTATATTATCTCATAGCAAAGGCTTATATTGCGTATAAGAGTTTTGTGTTGCAACTTGTGACGTCATTCTATGTTGAATCTGTAGTTCTTTTATTAGATCCTTATTATCCCATTAAAAAGGGTATAAGAGTTTTATGTGGAAACTTGTGGCGTCACGCTAAGCGGACTGTGTCGCTTATTCTAATTAGACCATCATTATCTCATAGCAAATGCGTATAAGAGTTTTGTGTTGCAACTTGTGACGTCATTCTATGCTGACTCCCCTGATCCCATTGGAGTACATAAATATATATGTTCTTGATTGGAACGAGTACTTTGATATCGAAGATACAGTTACAGATCTAGATACGACAAATGTATAATAGTTCTCGTAAAATCTCGAAAATTACAAATTATATTGGATATCTACCCGCTTACCCCTTAAGATCGATCACACACTTTTCGATGTCATGTTTAGTTCCTGACATTTTCACAAGGATCGGATCGATATTCAAGGTTCAAGTTTTCCATATGCTCTATATGGAAAGGGGAGGGGCGTCAGCTTGATATCAGGGTATCTAACCGTTGGACACACCCCGTCTGAAGCAATATTTTGTATGCTCGCTTAACGTCCCATTCACAGTCAAGTATTTAAACATTGATAGATGTAATCTTTTTTATAGACCCTGCTTTATAGCCCAATCGCGCGGGGTCGAATGACGCAGCGAATTTGTCGCTTGGTTTCCGTCAAGACGTATCGATTTTCTTGTGACCAAAACATTTGATTCGAAACATATCAAAAATGCACAAAGAAACCCAAACAGTCTGATTAATAGAGCCAAAGAGAACCTAAATATATCTTCGATCAGCCTTGAAAACAATCTGGACATGACGTTTCCATTTCCAACAGCATGTCCCACTTGTATCTAACAATGATAATTGCATTTGTATACCCTTTTTATACCCTTACAGAGGGTATTATGATTTTGTCGTGAAATGTGCAACGCATAGAAGAAGACATCTCCGACCCCATAAAGTATATATATGCGAAGTAGTCTCTCCGTTTTAAAGCTATCTTAATGAAACTTTGCAGAAGTCCCTCTTTCTGTTGCACGCAGCACATATGTGAAAACTAGCTGGATCGCACCACTATATCATATAGCTGCAATAAGAACGATCGGTCGAAAATTAAGTTTTTGTATGAAAAAACATTTTGTTTTTCAAGATATCTCGACCAAACTCGGCATTTATTAGTTTTACTAAGCTCCACATATATATGCAAAATCCCATTAAGATCGGACCACTATATCATATAGCTGCCATAGGAACGATCGGTCGAAAGCTAAGTTTTTGTATGAAAAAACATTTTGTTTTTCAAGATATCTCGACCAAACTCGGCATTTATTAGTTTTACTAAGCTCCACATATATATGCAAAATCCCATTAAGATCGGACCACTATATCATATAGCTGCCATAGGAACGATCGGTCGAAAACTAGGTTTTTGATTAAAAACCTTTTTGTTTTATCAAGATATCTCGAACAAATTCGGCATTAACTACTTTCCCTGTGCTTCTTAGATACGGGCAAAGCACTATAAGCATTATGAAACGGTTGGGTCTGCAAGGGTATTAGATCGTCGGCGTGCCGAAGATAGCCTTTCTTTCTTGTTTTTTTTATCATCTTATCAGTGAATGTTGTTTGAGGCACTTGAAATATTTGCAAATCATGTTGTTAATCATCGGGAATATTAAAAAATCAATTAAAAATCATAAACGTTTGTTTGTTGATTTAATCAAATTTACGTCTGGATTCGTCGAGCTCATATCTGGTAATAAACAACTTGGTACTTCTGCTCAAATGCGATTTAAGACTGGCTCGAATGGTCTTGAAGGCATTTTCCAAAAGATTTACACGTGATTCTCTGACCAAACGATATTCCAGATTCTAAATAGGGTATTCCGACTTTTAGTTCCAGCTTTGAATCGGGCCAAGCTTAAGGTTCGTTAGCATCGGTTCATTTAATCTATTAAGCCAATCAGGCTTGGAACTAGTTCAAGTATTGTAAAAACTCATAAAGTGAGTTATACTTTTATGTTCTCCGATCGAGACAATTGCCCTGAAACGGATTCATATTTCAGTTCTCAGCTCAGCTAACAAGTTCTTTCTCTGCGCTTCGCAACGGAAATCAAGATAGTCATGAGGCTTTTAAGTGCATTTTCCAGCTCGAATAAAAGCTGGTTCAAACCCGTTTTTCACTCAGCTTGTTGCATGTTTTAGCAATGCCTTTGGACCAATTAAATTCTAAAGCTTATTGAGTTTTCCAACCGATCCAACTAGTTCCGAACTAGTTCGCAGCTGGTTCAACTGAGTTGAACAGAGCAAAGTTCTTTGTTTTTCGACTTTCTAAAAATACAACTAGTTCCAAATTGCCTAAGAACTGGTTCAAAAGTAGTTCCAAAAAATTGGTTTATTAAAAAAAACGAATGTTATCAAAAAAAAAAAAAAGGTGTATTAATTAGGTTTCTAATTTGAGTTAAATATCTAGAACTTGTCGTTCGGCTTGACGGCGAGCAGCTCCAGGCGCTTGATGGCATCGTCCAGGAATTGGCGCTGCAGCTGAAGCTGAGGCAGCAGCTCCTCGGCGCTCAGCAGCTGGACATTCTTGCCGGCGCCCTGGTCCGGCCAGTGCCCGCCACGCCGCAAGCCGGACGAGACCTGGCTTGTTGTTGGCGTCGTGCTGCTGCCGCCGGGTCGCAGCATGGCCAGCAGACGTTTAATGAGCGACGGCGAGCTATGATCCGGCGGCTGGGCAATGCCCGCGCCGGGCAGCTCGGGCATGGCCAGCAAGGGTGTCAGGAAATAGGAGCCGGCGCTAACCGGTGTCTTGGGCGTGCTATTGATCACATCGCGCTGCATCTCCAGCGGCTGCTTGGCAGTTCCGGTGCTGCTTCCGTTGCTGTTCGGCTGCAGTGCATCCAGCTGCTGCTTCAGCTCGTCCAGTTTGTGCTGCAGAAACTGAAAGTCAGCGGCCAAACTGAGCGCCAATTGTTGCGCATCCTGCTGCACCTTGTTGGCCGGCCTCAGCGCCTCCAGTGTCTCGATCTGTTGCTCTAACTCCTGCTGGCGCCGCTGCAGCTCCTCCAGCAGCAGCGGCGTCTCCGGCGTGAATGCCTCCATATAGATCCGACCCAGTTCCGCCTGCAGCAGCTGCTTATGCACACGCAGCGCGCTCAGCTTCAGCTCCAGCTGCTGCGGACTGCCCAATCCAGGTCCAGCTGCAGCTGATAATTCGGTTGCCACCTGGACGCCCAACAGGGCAACAGCTGAGCAGAGCAGCAGCGCAACTTGTTCTGGACGCCAACACGACATCTTGTCAACTGACAGCTGGAGATGAACTGATGAACTGGCCCTCAACTGGGGGGCAACAGTGCTGCCAATTTGGCTATTTACTAGCTAGATTTGGCTTGCTTACGGCTCTCCATTTGGAATATATTATATACTCGGTCAATCTGGTCATGTTCATCGCGACTTGGGAAGCCTTGAAAATTTCATACAGATCGGACTCTAAACACGGAAGTTATTCAAGAATAGATTTGTCAAACTTGTGGCATGAACCATTGCAGTAGTTCAGCAAATGGAACCAGTCGACTCAGCAAGCTAGTTTAGCTGTTTTTTAACACTGGATTTAGCTAGGTTTTCCTTTGGAGTTGACAGCCGGAAACACCTTTGGGCTGCTTTCACGGGAAGATCTTATACAAGGCAAGAGGAAGCACGAACCATTGCAGGAGCTCAGCAAATGGAACTAGTTGAACCAGTCGACTCAGCAAGCTAGTTCAGCTGTTTTTCAACACTGGACTTAGCTAGGTTTTTCTTTGCTTTCACGGGAAGATCTTATAATTTCATACAGATCGGATTCTAAGCACCGAGGCAAGAAGAAGCACGAACCATTGCAGGAGCTCAGCAAATGGAACTAGTTGAACCAGTCGACGCAGCAAGCTAGTTTAGCTGTTTTTTAACACTGGATTTAGCTAGGTTTTCCTTTGGAGTTGACAGCCGGCAACACTGTTGAGCTGCTTTCTCGGCCAGCGCAGCAGGCGGGGCACACACTTTCTATTCTGGACTCGAATTTTAAGATCGTCATTTAACGGGAAAACTCAATTCAAATTTTATGTGCTTGACTAGCGACAAACAACATCAACTTGTTAACCAACACACATACACTCTCTCCCTCTCTCTCTCTCTCTGTCTGTGTCTGTCTGTCTTTCTCTCTCTGCATCTCTCGCTCTCTTTCCCTCTGCCTGTCGCCCTCAATCGGCTCAACCGTTGATTTGTTGCAGGTGCCGTCGGTTCCTATCAGTCGAAGTGCGATAACAAAACAATGTCGACCAGCGTGACAGACCCAGATGCGGAGTACACGGAGCCCGTGGCCGTGTGCAAGGCGAACGAAATCCAGGAGAACGAAATGAAGCAGCTGGAGTTCAATGAGGACACCAACGTGCTGCTGGTGAAGCAGAACGGACGGCTCCATGCACTGGGCAACAAGTGCACCCACTACGGTGCACCGATGCATACGGGCGGATTGGGTGTCGGACGCATACGTTGTCCGTGGCATGGTGCCTGCTTCAGCTTGGAGACGGGCGATATTGAGGACTTTCCGGGCCTGGACTCGCTGCCCTGCTACAAGGTGGACGTCAGCGCCGAGGGCGAGGTCATGGTGCGCATGAAGCGCAGCGATTTGGAGAAGTCGAAACGTCTCAAGGATATGGTCAAGCGCCAGCCGCAGGACGAGCGCTGTTATATTGTTGTCGGCGGCGGGCCGTCGGGCGCCGTCTGTGCGGAGACACTGCGCCAGGAGGGCTACACGGGTCGCCTGATCCTGGTGTGCCGCGAGCCCTATTTGCCGTACGACCGCGTCAAGGTATCCAAGGCGATGAGCATCGGCATCGAGAGCCTGGTATTCCGTGACGAGCAATTCTACAAGGATCACGACATCGAAGTCTGGCTGGGCGTCAGCGCCGAGAAGCTGGTGACCGCCCAAAAGGAGCTGCACTGCTCCAACGGCTACGTGGTCAAGTACGACAAGATCTATATAGCCACCGGCTGTTCGGCCTACAAGCCGCCCATTCCGGGCGCCGATTTGGCGAATGTGAAAACCATACGCGAATACGATGATGCTCGGGCCATACTTGATCTGGTCACGCCCCAATCGAATGTCGTCTGTCTGGGCTCCAGTTTTATAGCCCTGGAGGCGGCGGCGTTTCTGGTCACGAAGGTGGCCAGCCTTACGGTTGTGGGACGCGAGAATGTGCCGCTAAAGGCCGCCTTTGGCGAGCAGATCGGCAGACGCATTCTGAAGCTGTACGAGGACAACAATGTCAACATGTTAATGGGCAGCGGCATCATGCAAATCATTGCCGACGACGGTGGCAAGCTGGTCGAGGTGAAGCTGCGCGACGAGACGACAATACCCTGTGATCTGCTCATCATGGGCACCGGCTCCAAGCTGAACACCGATTTCCTGGCCAATTCGGGCGTGCGACTCAACAAGAATGGTTCGGTCGATGTTACCGACTTTCTGGAGACAAATGTGCCCGATGTCTATGTGGGCGGCGATATAGCCAATGCCCATATCTACGGACTGGCCCAGTCGCGCGTCAACATCGGACACTATCAGCTGGCGCAGTACCATGGACGGATCGCGGCGATCAATATGTGCGGCAGCATCAAGAGATCCGAGGCGGTGCCGTTCTTCTTTACCCAAATCTTTGGCAAGGGCTTTCGCTATGCGGGCCATGGCAGCTACAAGGAGATCATCATCGATGGCAGCCTCGAGGATCTGCAGTTTGTTGCATATTTTGTTAATCATGCCGATACCGTTACGGCTGTCGCATCCTGCGGCCGGGATCCGATTGTTGCCCAGTTCGCGGAGCTCATCTCGCAGGGCAAGTGCCTGGGACGCAATCAGATCGAGAACGAGGCCGATCGCCAGGCGTGGACCGCAATGCTCAAGCAGCCGCTGCCCAAAATACGCTAATTCGATCATTTGATCACAAAAAGGTCGGCTCATATGGTCCGATCGGCCGATTCCATGCCAGTTATTATTTAGCAACACGAGATTCATTCTTATATATATCTATGTATAGTATTATGCGTGAGCCGCTCGAAAAAAAAAACTATTTGTTATATTTGTTAAATCGTGCAAGTTTTATATGGATTATGCGCAGCTATATCTATATATATATATCTATTTCTATATGTGCCTGCAATTTGCTCGGTTTCAAAATTATTTCATGATCGTCTGTTCCCCGTATTCTTGCACCTAGGCAAAACAGTTTTGTACAATAAATAAATATGTTATTTACGATTTACGATTTTCATTTTGTTTAAATTGAGTTGAGATTTTCCCGATTGCACGTCAAGAATTAAGTATCCTTCTAGAAAGACTGTCTAAATCGACTCCCTAGATATCTAGAGGTGTCCAGAAGAGGCGGGACAGAGTTCGATCTGGAACATTTTTAAGATTCGATTGGCTGGCGTAGACAGATATTTTAGATAAATGAAATATTCGGAGACACTTTCGAGCGCTCTCAAAATTCCAAATTCCGAGCACACATTCGTTTCCATCAGGCAGATGCACGTTGCACAGATCTAGAGGAGCACCGGGCATGGAGAACAATGGGCAGTCGATGTCGAGTGCCGTGGAATGCATGATGCATAGCTGGCTCGATGCCTGGCGTTCCCTCAACGGGAACTGTCTGCAGATAACGACAACCGCGTGGAGATTCAAGAAATTGGTGTGTAGATCGCACTGAGATTGAGATGCAAACGGCTTTTGAGTTAACTCAGTGTCAGATCTTTTTAGCTGCCAAGCAAATCTATTGCTATGAAATGATATTGCAGGAGCGAAAGTTTGTTAATGACAGTTTCATCAAGTGCATCACAACTGCCGAGGAGATCTCCAGCAATCGGCGCACAAGGCACTCCAGGCTGAGCAATGAGAACCAGCGAATGCTCCGGCAATTGCTTTGCCTGAAGGGTGAACTCTCCGAACGGCAGAAGGCTCTGGTCAAGACCAAGCTAGAGTTGCACTGTCTCCGTCAAAGGCTACGCCAGCAGGCGTTCAGGACAAGTCGCATGGCCTCGAGGCTGGAGGAAAATAAGTTGTTGACCGAAAAGCTGTTGGAACGCAACGTCAAGTTGAACGAGCGGGTAATTATTGAGCTATATTCTTACCTGACTGATTGACAGACTGACTGACTGACTGATGAGCAGTGCACAGTCCATGTTTGCTGCAATTCACGTGTTTCAGTGATTTCATCAAATCCACATCAAAGTTCAGCAAATATTCCGCTTTAAATGGATTTCCATTTTAAATGGAACTTGCTATCAGCGAAAGTTTGGTCCGATCGGCTTCAAACTTAAAATATAAATATATGAATCATTTCCGGCAAAGCTTGGCCCGGATAGAGCCGGGCAATACTTTAGTATACCTTATAGGAAAGCTAATTGTGTATTCGAATAGACCACGGAGCTGTTGGAACTGTACAGAACGCGTGCGCTTATGTTTGTCTATAAGCTAATTGGCATGACGCAGGAGCTGCTTGCCACCAAAACCAGGTCGAAGGCATTCGCAGATGCCAGCGCGCATCTGAAGAGGTAAATCATGAGCCCAAGCCCAAGCAAAGGCAAACATAATAATTTAACAGCCATTGTTATGCTAAACAGTAAAAACAAAAAGCTACAATTGCGCCAAAGAATGCTTATCAACAAATACACTACGCTTGTCTCTCAAGACAAAGCCCCGCCGCAGGATGATGCACAGAATGCCAATCATGGACTGCTTCAGATGGCGCTCCATTATATCGGCTGTCTGTGGGAGTGCGTCTCGAGCCTGGGTCAGTGCCCAAAGCTGGAGGGACCAAATCGCCGTTGTCAGTGGGCTCTTTTCTTAATATAAACAACGAGCGTTTTACAATTCAACCTTATTGTCAATTTAATACATTAAAAGCATTTTTAACAGGCTGTGATTAATTGAATTTGGCAGGGCTGCACAGCTAAATAAAAGCCAGGGCTGCACACAGCAGCTGCAACAGGGTTGCAACTATCGATATGTGTATCGATGTGGCGTACGCGATGTTTCGATTTGCGTTTATTATTATTATTGTTGTTTGTTTTTTTTTTTTTTTTGGTGCGGGCGATGAATTGTCGATAGTTTTGCGGAAAATTTTTTTACACACCAGCAGCAGCCAGCACACATACACAGAGACACACACACACACACACACAAAAACGCCCAATAAATTACAGTTGCAGGCAGCGCACACATAAAAAGTTTTATAACAAAAAGCAAAGAATACGAAAAGAAAATAGATATAAACCGGGTCAGAAGACAACGGCCAACGTTAAAAGAGTACAAGCAAACGAAAACATTCCAATAAAAGAAGAAAAAAGAGTTACAGCCAGAGCTGCCTGCCTGCGCCAAGTGTAACCAAAGTGTAAAAACATCCGATACCGAAAACATTTTTATCAATTATGAATTTCTTGGGCTTTGGCCAATCAGCCGAAATTGATATTGTATTCGATGGTGCCGAGAATAAAAAGACCGCCGAGGTCAAGGGCGAGGATGGCAAAGTGGAAAAGATGCTGCTCTTCTACGATGGCGAAACAGTATCCGGCAAGGTAAACCCTAGCTCTAGCTGAACGCGTTGTGCGGTGCATGGAGAAAGGAGACGCGCGGCGGCGGCGGCGGCACTTCCGCTCTGCTGCCGCCCACCGAGCAGCAGTTATCAGCAGCAGCGGCAGCAGCGGCAGCGGCCCGTATAAACAAGCGCATAAATATTGCACAAAGTTGTTGATTATTTGAGTTTTGTGACAAAGTATGTTTTATCTTGTAGGTAAATGTGACGCTGAAGAAGCCCGGCAGCAAACTGGAGCACCAGGGCATTAAGATTGAGTTCATTGGACAAATTGAATTGTTCTATGATCGCGGCAATCATCATGAATTCAAGTGCCTGGCCAAGGCGTTGGCCCGTCCCGGCGATCTCATACAGAACAATAGCTATCCGTTTGATTTTCCAAATGTGGAGAAACAGTTTGAGGTATACGCCGGCTCCAATGTCCGTTTGCGTTACTTTCTGCGCGCGACAATTGTGCGACGGATAAGCGATATCACACGCGAGGTGGACATTGCTGTGCATACGCTCTGCAGTTATCCGGAAATGAATAATCCAATCAAAATGGAGGTGGGCATCGAGGATTGCCTGCACATTGAGTTTGAGTACAACAAGAGCAAATATCATCTCAAGGATACAATAATTGGCAAAATATATTTTCTGCTCGTACGCATTAAGATTAAGCACATGGAGATTGCGATCATTAAGCGCGAATCCACCGGCACCGGACCGAACATTTTCAATGAGAACGAAACGATTGCCAAATACGAGATAATGGACGGTGCGCCCGTCAAGGGCGAGAGCATACCCATACGCGTATTCCTTGCCGGCTACAATCTGACGCCGACCATGCGGGACATTAATAAGAAGTTCTCGGTCAAGTATTTTCTCAATCTGGTGCTGATGGACACCGAGGATCGGCGCTATTTTAAACAGCAGGAGATAACGCTGTGGCGCAAAGCGGATATACCACGTTACCATGTTGCCCAGCAGCAGCAGCAGCATCAGCAACATCAGCAGCAGCATCAGCAGCAGTCGCATCATCAGCATCACCAGCACGTGCCGCTGCACGCACCGCCCCATTTGGTGAGCGGCCCGGCAGCGCCGACCGTTGCCCATTCGCTCATTAGCAGCAGCACGGACAGCGAAGGCGCTGCCATTGGCGTCGGCGCCCAAGCCGAATCCAAAATGGGCCTGTTCACGCGCGAGAGCCCCAATCAGGAGTTTAGCCAACAGCAGCTGGACTCGCCGCTGCCCAATTCACCGATGACGCCTGGCAACGAGAGCAATGCAATTGTGGCTGCCGCTGCCGCCGCGGCCGCCGTAGCTGCCGGCAGTGAACGTGAGCGTGGCATGGGCGATGGCGCTGCCGCGGCAACGACAAGCGCCTCACCAGTGGCCATGCTATCGAACACGCCGCCGCCGCTGCTGCAGCTGCCGCCGACCAGCGAGGAGCAGCCGGAGATGTTGCAATCACCGGCGCATGCCGCCGGCGATGGCAACATGGAATTTGATTTGAACGATGATGACGATGATCGGGCACAGCTTGTGCCCTACGAAGAGCTAACGGACGTGGCGCTGCCCACACCACCAGCACCCGCACCTGCACCCGTGCCCGCACCCGCGCCCGTCTCCACAGCCGCCAAAAAGGTCAACGCTGCGCCACTGAGTGCGGATTGAGTGGCAGCCACGTTTCTGTTAACGATTGCGAATATGTTTATGTTTATGATTTCCACAACAACTCAATGGCTGGCGGTAGCTGGGTCAACTATTAACGTATATCCAAAACGTATACACGAAAAATATGCATATATATATACACACAAACACACACATACACACGCATATATATATCTATTTTTTTAAAAGTTAATTTAAAATTGTTAAAGCAAAATGTTTTATTGAAGTTATGCGCGCAACTTGATCCACTTGCACACACACACACACACACACACACGCACACCTTTTCGGCAAAAATAATATTCAATATGTACACAGACGCTATTAATACCCTCTCTCTCGCTCTGTCTCTCTCTTACACGCCATGCTCTTAGCTCTAGTAACTTGTATTCAAACACAAAAATTGTTGCATAAGGCAAACGAATGTTATAAATTTTTCTAGGCCAGACCACGCCCACTTAGCCCAACCAAAAGCAATATAACAACTCATTCCCATTTGGAAAATTTGATTTTTCAATAAGCAAGCGCTTGCATCGAGGAGCACAACAAACAGAGAATACAGAACAAATGCTTTCTAAAAGTAAATTCAAATTGAAAAATTCAAATTAATACAAATACCGATGCGTAAGCATAGCTAAGTTAAATATAAAGTTTAGAGAATATATATGTATAAATATATAAATCGAAGCACGCCTAGAAAACATGTTACATGCATTCACATATATATATATGAATCTATAAATATATATGATATATATATGCTTGCATATGTACATAACATATTTCATATTAATATATGCATATATATATATATATGTATATATCTTTATACATGTATATTATAAATTACAATTTATGAAATTAATAAAAGCGAGACCCGAGAAACCCGAATCTTGTATGAACCGAAGCAATCAAAGCACGCATAGAGCCATCATATTCCGAGCAGTTAACAATTCGAAATTCTTAATTTAATCAAAGGCATGAAAACGAGCGAGGCCTTGTCAAGCTAGCTTTAAGATAGACACGACTAATCCGTATCCATCTAGAGAGAGGGAGACATGGAGCCGCTTTCAAGTAAAGTTGGCCAATACAAGCTTCTTCGGAGCACCGAATAGTAAACACCCTTACAGGCTTAAAGCATATGTTAGGCTCACAGAGATCATGTAGAATTTGATTAAAGTAATTGACAACAAAAAGAAAAGCAACTAGTTTTTTCATATAAAAACTTTACATTCTAGCTTCACCTTTTGATGATGTAAGCTTATTATTGTTGAAATACTGAGAAACTAACAAGTTTTTGTTTATACTCTAATCGCTCGATTGTTTCAATTTGAACTAGATGACATAGTGGTCCGATGCAAGGGATCGTTCCGGCAGTTGTCCGACTTTGGGAATCTGCAAATGCCTTCGATTACAATAGAGTTTAAGATTTATTCAATAACTTGTGTGTGTTGAACAATAACTTAGTTACTTATTAGTTAGTCCCAGGCCTCCTTCACTCGCAAATGCTGCAGTCGCTCTTCGATGGTCACGTGCGGCTTCATCTTGCTGCGCGTCTGCTCATCCGTCCATTTGGCCACCAGCTTGTCGCGTTTCTGCAGCTCCTTGGCGTGTCCCGACGATTGCTCCTAGAAGAGGGGGGCGAGGCTTTATGTTTTAACTAACAACAACTAAATGTCTATGCATACCAGCGTGAGATAGGGATGCCTCAGCAGAAACATGATGTGCTCCTGGCGCTCGTATTCGCGGGTCAGCGTGTCCATGGCACGTTTGCTCACCGGCTTGACCAGTCGCCGCTTGCCGCGAAATATGTGGCCGGGCACGGTTTTCTTGAAAAAATTGATCAAAGTCAGCTGCATTTTGTGCCTGCCGACTGTTTTGCCTAATTATTTCTTTGCCAATGCACGTTCAATGTTGTTGCACAAGTCGTTGCGACAGCTGAGGCCTGTTATCGTTATCGCTGCGGCAATTTGTAGCCATATATGCATACATATATATATCGATATATCGAAACGCGCTGCTCTAGCAAATGAATCGATAGTTTCGCACTAAAATTTAAAACGTGCTCTTCCATAGATATTTTGAAAAAAAAAATTAACATACCAAAAACGTGATTTGTATTTTGTTGTTGCAAATCATATAAAACAAGAAATGCGCAGCTTAGGCACTATTTTCGGATAGGGGAAAGGGACTAGCATGCATCACATTGCCCTGATGCAATGCACCCTCAACAAAATGCAAAATCTCGAATCCCACCTCGACCATAATCAAAATAATGATCATCCACTCGAGCCGAATGTGATGGGCATCGTTCAAATTGTGGGACACCAGCTCGGCCAGCTCGACGCAATGGTTGATCTTCTCGTTCATCACCTTGGTGCGGCGCGATATGCTAAAATAGGAGCAAACCTGCAGATAGAGCCCCTCCAGCTCCTCGCGATCCCAGTAAAAGTCCGGTGCATCCAGCAGATCCGAGGACAGGTTAATGGAATGCCGCAGGGCAAACAGTTCGCCTGTTTTGCGCAGCATGGAGGCGCGCGAGATGCGCAATCGCCGACCGCGCTTCAGATCCTCCGTCAAGTACTCCATCGAGTCAATATAGCGATCCAGTGTCGCCTCCCAGATGCCCAGCTTGATCGACTGCGCAATCGCATTGGAGAATGTGTACTTGTACAGGAAATTGTCGCTGTCCGGCGTCAGATAGAACTTGCCGTTCTGGAAGAAGGCGCGCGATGCCACATTCAAATCGCTCGACTCCGCCACCAGATCGCCCTCGACGTCGACGGCCGTCGATGCGATATACGTGTAGGGCATCACCTCGCTCTCGCCGTGGACCAGGGTGCTCACGTACGATTCACGCTCAAAGCTGCGCAAGAAGTTGAGCACGTTGTTCGTCTCGATGTCGTTGCAATTCCAAAAGACGACGGAGCCCTCGCGAAAGAAGAATATCTCGCGCGGCCGGGACCCCGTTTGATATTTGGCGGTGACAAAGAGCACGTTCTGCTCCACGCCCAGATTGTCCGTGGAGAAGAAACGTTTCGTTTCGTATAGATTCTGTTGCTTGAGCGCCGCATGCAGCTCCTCCAGATTGTACTCATCGGCCGTCGTATAGCCACGTGTATTGAGGAAACCCAAGGCGGACAGCTCGTCAATAGCCAGACGCTTCTTGCGCAATGCACGCGTTCGTCCGGGCGAGAGCCCCGTCTCGAGCGGCTCGTCCACCTGCGGCAGGGTCTTGACGCCGCCGGCCGCACTGCGGGCGGCCTTCTTGATTGTTCCTGCCGCCGCCGTGCCAACTGCTTCGGTGGTGTCCTTTGGCGTCGTTATGCTTGCGGCCAGGGATCTGCTGAACTTTGGCAGCCACCTCGATTGCTTTTGCCACCAGGCACGCTGCAGCTGTGTGTGTAGCTTGCATGTGTGTGTTCGGGGCAGGAGGCTTAGGCTACGTACGAGTGCCGTTTGCACGGCAAAATGTGCTCTGTTCATAACGCTGGCAATTACTTTTGGTTTCTTTCTTCTTTTTCTTTTTTTTTTTTTAATTTTCAAAAAGAACACTTCCAATTGCCATAACACTTGGCCCGATATTTGTGCAACTATCGAATCTCGACAGTGGAGCCGGCAGTTCAGCGAGCTGGTTCGCGAATGAACTTTGGCTCTGGCTCATTGAGCCGCGCTGCTGTTACCAATTGAATATCCAATCTATTTCTATATTTATGAATATATCAAAAATGTTGCATTGTTTCTAAAATGGCTTACACTTTAACTACGGCTCGGTATTATTAATCATTTGTAGCCATATTTAAATCAGATGTCAAGCTCAACGTCCGGTTCGGTTCAAACGGTTCATTGCGGTATATAAAAAAGATCACAAATTTAACGATATCAAACAAATCGATAGCCACAAAATACCGATTGCACAAAATTGATCTATCGATAATTGTAGCAACAACAAACCAATACGTATGGCTGTTGTTGTCTGTGGCGGCAACGCATCAAATCAAGATGGAGAACGCTTTATTTTCCAACATCAAGAAGCTATACGACCACGGCCTATACGAATGCGTTATTCCATCGGTAAGTTGAAGCGTGCTCAGCTCTTGCCAGCATAAATTTCACACTCTGCTGACAAGTCGCAATGGGAAAAACTTCGCGCCGAGCTGGGCATGCAAATCCTTAATTGACACACACACACACACACATACACACACATACACGCGTATACATGTATACAGCCACGCACTCACACACTTGCATCTGCAGGCCAGCCTGTTGTGCACACTGCTGCAAAATGATCGAAATGTGGCCACACTGGAAATGGAATACCAGGCAATGCTCTATCTAAGCAATGCCAACTACAAACAGCACAACTATCGCACCGCCTGCAATCAACTGGAGGCTGTTGTCCTGCAGCGCAAGTCGATGCTGCGCTTCAAGAGCAGCTATCTGACGGCCATCGAGAGCTCCTATCCGCAGTTCCAGGACGCCGAGCTGCGCTACAAGATCGCCATCTGCTACCAGGAGCTGGGCGAATACAACATGGCCATGAGCACACTGCAGGCGGTTAAGACGCGAACACCGCGGCTGAACATGCTGCTGGCCCGGCTAATGCATCATCATGGGCGCGGCGTTAGCAAGAAGGAGATTGCGCTCGCCTTCAAGGATGTGCTGCGCGAGTGTCCCATGTCGCTGACATCCATTGAGGCGCTCATCGAGCTGGGCATCGATGGCAGCGAGGTGCATTCCATGGTGGTAAATGGTGCGTATTTCCCTTAAGATCTCTTACAACTGAACCAGCTCCGAGTGGGTGGGGGGCGAATAGTGAAAGGTTATTGCCCCCTTTTGGAGGGAAAAAAACCTCAAAAAGAGTCAATAGATTCAAATTCACGAAAAAGCTTCAGGATTATATATTTAAATGCAAACAGAACAAAAATAATTGTTCTTTCGGTTCAACCCTTAAACCAGTTTTTAGGTTAGGTTTGAAAACCATTCGTGAATTCGTCCCGTTCGAATAATGGTTCCTGAACCAGTTCCGGCAGTCGTCAAGGGAGGAGGGGGAATTTGTCCAACAAAATTTGTAAACCGACTTTGCAGACCCATTTCATGTTGCAAGCGTTACATGGGAATCCCCCCCAAAAAAAAAGATTGGTTTGGATTGCAGTTCGACTGTTTTCCTAGAAACTGGTTTGGTTTAAGATTTGGTTCACATTGAATCACTTGGAATTCAGGGCTTGAACCACCACAGTCTTCATGAAAATGTATAATCCTCTAGAAAGATGCTCGGAACAATATTGAACTATATTTACAAGCAACGACAATTGTTTGTTGGGTTTGTTGCCCTGTAAAAAAAATATGTTCACGAACCGCAGCTTAAGATACAGAGTTGGTTCAGAGCGTGAACCGAACTATCGATTAACAATCCGAACCTTGGTCGAGGCAGAGAGTCGTTTCAAAGCTTGAACCGAACTATCGATACTTATTTTGGGTTTACGAACCGCATCTTAAGATACAGAATTGGTTCAGTGCGTGAACCGAACTATCGATTAACAATCCGAACCTTGGTCGAGGCAGAGAGTCGTTTCAAAGCTTGAACCGAACTATCGATACTTATTTTGGGTTTACAAACCGCATCTTAAGATACAGAATTGGTTCAGTGCGTGAACCGAACTATCGATTCTTCTTTTGGGTTCACGATTAACGATCCGAACCTAGGTCGAGACAGAGAGTTGTTTCAAAGCGTGAACCGAACTATCGATTCTCCTTTTGGGTTCACGATTAACGATCCGACCCTAGGTCGAGTCAGAGAGTTGTTTCAAAGCGTGAACCGAACTATCGATTCTCCTTTTGGGTTCACGATTAACGATCCGACCCTAGGTCGAGTCAGAGAGTTGTTTCAAAGCGTGAACCGAACTATCGATTCTCATTTTGGGCTCACGATTAACGATCCGAGTTATCGATACTTTTTGTGGTTAGACGGTTGTTTTGTTCTGTAAAAAAAAAAACAGGTTCACGAAACGAACCAAGAGTCAAGGCGCTGGCTCGAACCTTAAATCGAACCAGTGACTGGGGAAATAGCTGGTTCGAACTGTTAATTTGCAGTTAAAGTCAAATTTGAGTGCTTAGCCCTGAACTGGATAAAATACTCCATCCACAGCCGCCGCGCTGCCCAAGAACATCGAATGGCTGAGCAGCTGGATCAAGGGGCATGCCCAGATGTACGGCTGCAAGCATCGGGAGGCGGCGCAGACATTTCAACAGCTGAACGATACGACATCGTTCCGCCAGAACGAGCATCTGCTGACGAAGATTGGCCAGTGCATGTACTATTACGGCAATTTTGTTCGGTCGGAACAGTATCTGGCCATGGCCACAATGCTCAATCCGCACAACCTGGACGCCCTCTGCCCGCTGGCCGTTGTCTACGAGTTCAACAAGAAGAAGCTGGAGCAGGGCAAACTGATTGCGCCGCTCGAGATACGCACCACCGGGGAGTTCAGCTCGTCGCATTGGTTCCTGCACGCCCAGCTCTCCTATATGAATTCCAAATACGATCGCTCGCTGATCTTTACGGAGCGTGCTCTGGCCATGGATGCGCGCAACATTGAGGCGCTGCTGCTGCGCGGCCGTCTGTTCGGCGGACTGGGTCGCCACAAGGATGCGATCGATGTGTTCCGCAGCGCCCGCTGCCTGGCCCCATACAGATTTGAGGTGTACAAGGGTCTGGTCGCGTGCTTTATACGCCTTAAGTGGCTGAAGGAGGCGCAAACCATGTGCGCATTGGCCGTCCGATATTTCCGGACATCGCCGCGCAGCTATACCATGTTCGGCGGCACATTGTTCCATCTGGCCAATCCGACCGCCAAGAAGAGCGCACGCAAATTTGTGGAGAAGGCGCTGCAAATCGATGAGCACTATGCGCCCGGCATTGCACTGATGGCCAGCATCTATCAGGATGAGGGCGACACCCAGGAGGCAATTGTTTTGCTACGCAAACAGGTCGCCAGTCATCCGCATCCCAAGCTGTTTGCCATGCTGGCCGAGTTGCTCAGCGTCGACAAGGATCTGGATGCGGCTCTCCACTATTACACGCTGGCGCTCAGGTGATTTCTCTCTCCCTCTCTCTCTCGATCTGGATGCTTATGGGGCTACTTTTGCAGATTGGATCCAACATTTCAGCGCGCCTTGGATGGCATCAATTCGCTGACAAAGGCGGCCCGCACAGGCAAGCCCAGCGAGAAGGCCAGCGAGTCGGCGAGCAGCTCAAGCGTCGCCGCCGGCGATGCCAGCAATGCGGCCACCATGTCCAGGCCATGCACGACGCCCAATCATGAATGGCTGCTCGACTGCGATGAGGCATCCACCGAGGCGCTGGAGCTGTCCTCGCCGGCAGGGCCGCCGGAGGATGTTGAATCGGATACGTTCTCAGAGCCCTTCTGGCAGGATGTCGACGGCGAGCTAACCAACTAATTTGGCCATGTGAAGCACCCTCACCCAATCCTTTATTATGTTGAATCTCTTGCGTTGCATTCCCAATTAGCCATATCTCATGTAAATTCCAAGCACAGCATGTTTTTTGTTTTGTTCTTTTGTTTATTTTTTTTTGTTTTTGTATTTAAGCGCCAAACCAAATTCTCATTATCATGAAATGTATTTATTGTTTTTGTTTTTAATTTATTTTCACTCAGCATAGATCTGAGCGGTCCATCCACCTAAATATCTCAAGACATACACGAAAGTCTGCCAGATTTCATAATGTAAGCTAAATATATTGTATTTGTTTTAACTATGAAGTTCCAAGTGTTAAATTAAAGCAAAACTATTGTAAAACTTATTTATTTTGGCTGTGCGTATATTTTGTCTTTGTTTTTTATTTGCTTTCCCATTTGCTTAAACAACTGTGTGGGTTTTTCTTAGCGTGTATTTGTATTTGTTGTTTCTACGCACTGGCCGGTAGCTTATAACTGTGTTTTGTCAGCTTTGTTTCCAAGCCCCAGTGGCCTAATGGATAAGGCATCGGCCTCCTAAGCCGGGGATTGTGGGTTCGAGTCCCATCTGGGGTAAAGTGAATAAATTCAATATTTTGTTAACTTTTTACTATTTCATATTATTATTATTTGGCCCAAAACTAGATACACTTGCTTACCTAGTTAATAGAACCAACTCTTTGACGATTAATAAATTGTTTTTGTTTTTATCAAGGCCTATTTACAGCCTGCTTACAGTCTGTTAAGTGTGGAGTCGTTCTGTTAACTCGTCTGCTGTACGGCGCTGTATGGCTGTTGTGTGCAGATCAGCTGTTCGCTGCATTGGTGTGACCAGTTTGTTGTAGTTTTTTTTTTTTTTTGGTATTTCTGTATTATGTGCCGCCTGGTCGCATATGGCACGCGCTCGCGCGCCAAAACTTCAGTTGTTTATCAATCGCGCGCATTGTTGCATGTGCGTGTCCGTTAAGCGCAAAGTTGCCGACGAGCTCTTCTGTTAGTTTTTTCTTATTTTTTTTTTCTGTTCTTGTTGATTATATTTTTTGTTGTTGTGCTGATAGTTGAAACATTAAAAATATACACACAAACAATAACAGTCGAACTGAAAACCAATAAATTTAACGAACTGTGTCAAATTACTTGTGCTTTATGCAAATTGAAATTTAACAATTTGCATGCTGCGAAT